TTTCTTGTGAGGGCAAAAGGAACTCAGTCCGAGAACGCAGAGCAAAGAACGGCCGGGCAACGCCTCGCCGTCACAGCTTCACTTCCTATTAAGTCTATTCCAGGGAGGAGCCATTTTGACTCCTGGCAACCACGCCTCCAAAAACAAGAGCCCGACTAAAAGGAGCAAGGGACCATTTTCACCAAGGAGGGAAAAATGGCTTTACCACCCTTAAATTCTAAAAGGATAGGGCTGCCATCTTGACTACTATCGTTCAAGCTATACTGGATCAGATTAACCTAAAATTCATAGGAAGTGATCGGAAACGTCCATGTTGGGTGAGGGAGGCGAAGTCGGCCATCTTTGAGAAGGGCGTGACTGGTTGAAAAATCTGAACTCTTAGCTGTTAAGTCTTCCCGGCCCAACCCAGTGTCCGAGCAACACGTTACATTTATATTGCTTCAGCACCTTACTAAGGTTGCCATTTTGTTTAAGGGCACCCTCTAATATTGGGTAAAATAATGGTCTACTCTGAGGCTATTTGCCTATGGTATCAGTTATACCACAGTAGTTTGTGGTAAAAAGTGCAACAGAATAAAAGCGCTGTGCCTCTTGTTTACTAGCGTTAGTCACCACACCACAACAGTTCTTTAACGGTGACTGATTTTCAAGATTCCATATCCTCTTCACTCCCACCCTCTGGAGGATATTCAATTCTAATAAGTTATAAATTGCCTAAAAGGCAGGTAGAAAAATAAAGAAGGAAAAGCAAAGGGTCTGGTTAATCCACAAACTATATTCTCCATCCAGCACCTGAATAATTGAGTCAATAGTAATTTACCATCACTGAGACTGGAGGAGAGTTGAAGCTCCATAAAGATGTACCAAGACATTCTCTAAATTCAGCCTGCTAAGACGATGGTCTCTATTCAGGAATGTGCTATATTTCATTGCCTCTTCCTCCCTACACCCACCTTCATTTTTCAACTCTTTTGGGAACTATAACAAGCCAGGAAGTAGGCATATGCATGAAATGCTGCCTCCTGCTTTATGGTTCTATGAAGTCAGTGTCTGGCCTTCCTTGTTGGATTCTAGCAGCAACATCTATCAACAGCCAAATTCCACTTTCCTCTAATGCCCAACTCAGCCCCTCCTCTCCCCCAGCAGACTCTGCATGTACTGTATTTTTAATACAGAAATTTGGCAACCCTTTCCAAGCCCAACCATCAGAATGTAATATAAAGCAGGAGATCTTTATCTGTGTCTCACACTTGAATGGTGTGGAAAATGCAGAGTGCCTCTGTTTATTGATCACGTATTATTTTTGCGTTCACCCCTGCAATGCGACTAGTCCTCTTTCAGACTTCTTTCAGTGGGTCTTTCACTCTACCACTAATAATAGCATCTGTACCTCTCTTAAGGCACTTTCACATTTTGCCTGGTTAGAAGTGTACATTTATTTCCTACTGGATGGTGAACTTTTTTTTTTTTTTTTTTTTTTCCTTTTTTTTTTTTTTTTTGAGACTGTCCGCACCGGCCATCCCTATATAAGATCCGAACCCGCGGCGGGAGCGCTGCTGAGCTCCCAGCGCCCCACTCTCCCGAGTGCACCACGGGCTCGGCCCTGGATGGTGAACTTTTAAAGACAGGTATTTCTCTACTATTCATCTCTGTGGCCACGGTGTGCTTAATACATGTTTGCTGAATGAACACACGAAAGAGTGACAACAATGTTCTTCCAGTCACTGAGGCTTAAAGCCCTGGCTCATCTTTCACAACTTGCCTTCCTTTCCTCCACATCTGGTGAGTTGCCAGGTCCTGTTGATTCTTTCTCCTCAGTTTCTCATATTCTTTTTCATCACAAATGATACCACCTTGGCTTCTTATTTCCTCACTCCTGAATTACTGAAATATTCTCTTAACTAATTTTCTGGACCTAAACTGTCACTTTTTTTTTTTTTTTTTTTTTTTTTTTGGCAACTGGCCAGTACTGAGAACTGAACCCTTGACCTTAGTGTTACAAAGCTGTGCTCTAACCAACTGAGCTAACTAGCCAACCCTAAACTGTCACTCTTTATTCTGTATAGCATCAGATTGATTATCCTAAAATACCATCTTTGTCACTCACCTACTTTATTTTATTTTTTAAAAAGATGACCGGTAAGGGGATCTCAACCCTTGGCTTGGTGTTGTCAGCACCACACTCAGCCAGTGAGCAAACCAGCCATCCCTATATAGGATCCGAACCCGTGGCCTTGGTGTTTATCAGCACCACACTCTACCGAGTGAGCCACGGGCCGGCCTGTCACTCACCTACTTTAAAATGTTCTGTAAAGTTCAAGCTCTTCTTCATGGCACTCAAGGCCTTCTGTAATCTGTTTGTTACCTTCCTTCCTTACATTAGTTCTCTGTTCAAAGGCCCCCTACTCATGGGGACCTCACAAAGGAGAAGTACTAATGATAAGGGCTGTAGTTCAGAGGTGGAGGAGGAGGTCAGTATAAATGGGGGTGAGGGGCCAGCCCGTGGCTCACTCGGGAGAGTGTGGTGCTGATAACATCAAGGCCACGGGTTCAGATCCCATATAGGGATGGCTGGTTCGCTCACTGGCTGAGCGTGGTGCTGACAACACCAAGTCAAGGGTTAAGATCCTCTTACCAGTCATCTTTAAAAAAAATAAAAATAATAAAAAAATAAATAAAATTAAAAAATGAGGGTGAGGTTGGGAGTCCAGGATGGTCTGAAGGCATGGATTCATTTCCCTAAATACTTCTTGGGTTCCATTGCACTTCAAACCCACAGCCTTTCCTCTCTCAGCCCATACCTGGGAAGGATTTTCAAAATAGGTGGTACTTAAGCCTCTAAGATAGGAGGGACAAGATTTAAATAGGTGAAGGGGAGGAGGGAGATGTGTTAAGAATAGAGAGTGGAAAGAGGTTGTGATGGATGGATTTTGATTGGACCATAGTGGGCCTTAAATGCCAGCCAGGGGTGGAAGAGGTGGTTTGGATCTGATCTTGCTTAGGGTTTCTTTTTTTTTTTTTTTAAAGATGACCGGTAAGGGGATCTTAACCCTTGACTTGGTGTTGTCAGCACCACGCTCAGCCAGTGAGCGAACTGGCCATCCCTATATAGGATCCGAACCCGTGGCCTTGGTGTTATCAGCTTTGCACTCTCCCCAGTGAGCCACGGGCCGGCCTGCCCTTAGGGTTTCTTAGCAGAGGAGACACAGGATTTGAGTGATACTTTAGGAAAACATGTCCATATGGAGGATAAGATTAGAGTGGGAGGCTGGAGGTGGCCAATTAGGAGGCCATTTAACTGTCCAGAACTGATTTGATAATGGCCTGACCTACAGAGGTGGCAATCCATCTATATATAAAGATTTAAGACTTAGTCTTTAAAAAGAAGATAAATTCTTATCTCTTCAGTAAGATTTCCAAGTGGTCCTACACAACAGAAGAGAGAAGAACTGGTTGGACCTCAGCATGCTCCCCTAATTTCTCCAGTCTTTCCATGACATGTTTATACTTGCCCTTAGTACTGAGACCCCAGGAAATTACAATGCCATGTCACCCCCATCATGATGTCTGGAGGGGCCAGTCTCTTTCTTTTGTGTGTGGGTCTGTTTCTTTGAATGAACCTATTCCCACAGCACCATCTTTTTTTTTTTTTTTTGGTGGCTGGCTGGTACAGCCATAATCAAACCCACCTACAGCACCATCTTGAGCTGTAATGTGTAGCAAAATATAGTCCATATTGTGCTGGAAGTAGTTGCAGCTTGTCACTCTGCCCCAATCTAGTTCATCTTTCTGAAGGGCCAGCCGTAGGTTCACCAACCCTACCCCTAGACCATCTCTCTTTTTTTTTTTTTTTTTTTTTGGTGGCTGGCTGGTACAGCCATAATCAAACCCACCTACAGCACCATCTTGAGCTGTAATGGGTAGCAAAATATAGTCCATATTGTGCTGGAAGTAGTTGCAGCTTGTCACTCTGCCCCAATCTAGTTCATCTTTCTGAAGGGCCAGCCGTAGGTTCACCAACCCTACCCCTAGACCATCTCTGGTTGATCTAAAACTTAGACTCAACATTATGGGTCAAGGTCAGGTGTTTCTCCTGCCTTGGAACTACAAACCAGCTCTCTTGCCATTGTAAACTATTGGGCAGAAGGGGGACCAGGAGAGAGAGGGCTAGTAGATCCTTTCAGCTACATCCTCAGGACTTTAACACAAGTCAAAGAATCTATATTGCTAGAGAATTCTCAGAAATGCTATCTTTGTATGCAGATGTATTCATCCCCAAAGCAGAGGAAAAAGAGAGTTCCAGATTCTAGTTTTCCTGGAAGGTATTTAAGCCTTTTTCTCCTTTCCCCATACAAAATTCTCTTGCTCTTTTATCCTTGCCTCAGTCCATTTTTCTTTCCCCATCTTGCCTGTGAGTTGAAAGTGTGAGCTGAGCCTCAGAGCTCCTTGCTCTCATACTTCTGAAGGCTGTCCCCAGCATCAAGGTTTCCTGCCTCAGTGGGTCCCCAGCTCTCTGTCCTGACTATATCAGAGAACTTCGTTGTCTCTGCCTCCTCCTAGGCTGGGAGCTCTCTCAGGCCACGGACAGGGCCTTAATTGTCTTTGCATGCCCAATGCCCCACACAGGAAAAACAAGAGGAACCCAGCTCTATTCTTTCCGCTTGCTCCCACTTTTCTTTGTGGTTACCCCAGTCCTCCACCCCACTGTGGGTAGTTGGAGGATGACAGACAGGAGACTCCTCAAGTGACTCTCAGATGCGTCATGGGCAGCAGAAGGTAAAGGTCTGACTGATGGGGCAGCGTCTGCCCAGCACTGGAGACGCCACTGGTCTCATCCTGTCTCTCCTCAGCAGTCCTCTGAGGAGGAGGGGGCTGTTCCATTAGCCAATTCCAAAGCCTGATTTGGGGCTGGGGAGAAATGAAGCATCAGCTCACACGCCTTTCTCACCGGTTCTGGCAGCAGCTTAGCTTCTCTGTGGCGTCTCTCTTCCCCCACCTGACCCAGCTCACAAATCCCTGCCTTGCTCCTTCCAGCCTTCACTCAGCCCTAGAGATGGCTCTGCAGGATGTGTGCAAGTGGCAGGCTCCAGACGCCCAGGAACCAGAACCTCACCTGCCTCAGGCTGGCAGCTGGGCTGTGCCCCGGGGCTGTGACCCTCAGACCTTCCTGCAGATCAATGGCCCCAGGCTGGCCCATGGTACTACCACCCTGGCCTTCCGCTTCCGTCATGGAGTCATTGCTGCGGCTGACACACGTTCCTCCTGTGGCAGCTACGTGGCCTGTCCAGCCTCGCGCAAGGTCATCCCTGTGCACCAGCACCTCCTGGGGACCACCTCTGGCACCTCTGCTGACTGTGTCACATGGTACCGGGTGCTACAGCGGGAGCTACGGCTTCGGGCACTGAGAGAGGGTCAGCTGCCCAGTGTGGCCAGTGCTGCCAAGCTCTTGTCAGCCATGATGTCCCGCTACCGGGGGCTGGATCTGTGTGTGGCCACTGCCCTGTGTGGCTGGGACCGCTCTGGCCCTGCTCTCTTCTATGTCTACAGCGATGGCACCCGCCTGCAGGGAGACATCTTCTCGGTGGGCTCTGGATCTCCCTATGCCTATGGTGTGCTAGACCATGGCTACCGCTACGACATGACCACACAGGAAGCCTATGCCCTGGCTCGCTGTGCCGTGGCCCATGCCACCCACCGTGATGCCTACTCAGGGGGTTCTGTGGACCTTTTCCACGTGAGGGAGAGTGGATGGGAGTATGTGTCACGCAATGATGCCTGTGTGCTGTACACAGAGCTACAGAAGCTCCCAGAACCAGAGCTGGAGGAGGAGGCAAGCCAGGCCCATCCTGAGGCTGCCACTCCCCACAAAGCTGGGGAAGGTGGAGAACTCTCCGCAGAGGCCAAGGGAGGTGAGACCAGGAGACTCCAGGATGCCAACAGAGACTGAAACACTGTGAGAAGCGGCAGGACATGGGGGAACGTAGGCCCAGGGAATGAGTGCGGGGATTTGGCAGCAGGGGAAGGACTCCGCTGGGAGCAGCCTCACAACTGGACCAGCCCTTCTGGGTTGCCTGCTTCATTTATTCCAAATCGCCATCCTTTCTGCCTCCTGAGCTACTGACAGCTCTGTCCAACATGTTTCTATTGAAGCCCAGTCCGGCCTCCTTTTTGGTACCAAGTCCACCTTTTAGCAAACACTTGCTGTATGCCTACTGCACGCCAGAGGCCGTGCTAGGTGTAGACCTCTTTTCTTGCATCCTCTTTTCTGCTTTTTCCAGCCTGTCCTCAGTCTCTCTTCTTCCCTCCTGTTTTGGTCCTCTATCTAGCTTAGCTTCAGGGTCTCTGTCTTTTTCTCCTCGTCATTTTCTCACCTTGGTGGGGTGGGGCAGCCAGGAGGGGAGCAGCCCTCTCAGAATGAGGTGGGAATGGTGGCCCAGATAGGCACGATGCCTTGGGTGGTGATGGGCTTGTCTCCTCCACTCTCCTTCTCTGCCCTGACCATAAAGACTATAACAATTACTCCTCTACCGAATGCAGTTCTCATGATAACTTTTTGAGGTAAAAATGATCCTACCTTTACAGAAGAGGAGTCAGGTACAAAGGGTTATGTCAGCTGGTCCAGGTCGCAGTAAGTGCCAGAGATGAGGCTTAGATCTGGGCCTTCCCCTTCAGAGCCTGTGCCAGAGCACTGCTCCCTCCCTGCCATCTGTCCTGCCTCTCCTCTCTTCTTCTTCTGGAGAGTGATATGGAGGAGAGAATAGTTGGGCCAAGGCCCTGCCTGGTGGTCAGGGGTGAATGAACCCTGAGGAGTCCAAGAGCCTGGAGGGGTGTGTTCAAGGAAGCTTCCTGGGCTGGAGCCACCCCCTTGCTCTCTAGCCTTCTGGGCCTGTCACGGTCACTACCAGACTTCCCCTCCTCCTTTCTTCCCTTTGCCTTCTTTCCAGCCTCTCCTTCCTGGTGCTGCCTCTGGAGAATGAAGGACAGAGGGAGGTGGCTGTGCTGGTGGGAACTGTCCTGCTAGCACATCCTCTCTAGCCTCTCCTATCCCCCTCAGGATGACTTGGAAATCCAGGCTAATAGCCCCAGGAGGGCCACCGCCCCCTTCACCCGAGACCAAATGGGAAAGAAAGCAGGTGGACCTGGGAGATGGGGCCTGAAGGAACATCACTGAAGCTTCTTTTCTCTCATCCTACTGCTAAAGCTTCCAGTCCCACTTTTCCTCCCTCCTGGACACGCTTCCTCCCAGCCTCTAGCCTGGGCCTTGAGCCCTAACCCTGCACCTCAGGCTAAGAATTCTTCCAGGAAGGAGCTGGCCAGACAGGAAGAGACCTCCAGACTCTAGCCCTGAGGGGATGACTGGGGAGAAGGGAGGAAAAGGTCAGGGAGTCCCAGAGAGGAAAGCAGTGGGGACAGAGTGGGGAGGAACTGTGGTGAGAAAGGGGACCACAGAAAGGTGCCTAGCACAGAAGGACTAGCCTGCAAGCCAGGTGGCCTCCATAGCAACACTTCTTCACACCCTGCCCACTTCCCAGCCTCAGGAGAGAGGTGTGGGACTCTGGGAACTGTAACTAGAGGCCAGGGACCCCTGGGATAGTCTGGTCCTGGAGGATCACATGAAGGGCAGCTTTTGCCCAGGGTTCAAGAGTTTGAATGACACAGGCACAGCAGGGAGCATATTCATGTCCACAGATGTGTGTGGGTCTTGTGTTCCGGTATAGGGAAGTGATACAGGATGGGTGTGTGCATATGAGTGTGGTGGGTGATGTGTGTGCGGTTCCTGTGTGCAGAGACAGGAACCAGACTGGAAAAGAAAGAGCAACATGTGAATAAGGAGATCAGCCTCTTAATGGGAAGAATGCCAGGCCTTGTCACTTCTCTTGGGAAAAAGGCTCCAGAGTAAAGAGGAGGTGGGGGCTCACCCCACCAGTTCACTACTTCCTCATCCTCCCAACCCTATCCTGAGGCCATGAGGGAGTGAGAAAAGGGAGGGAGGGGTGGCCTGAGCCTGGGATTGCCACCAAATGCTCAGCCAAATGCTGCTATAAACTCCATGCAGCTCACTCCCCTGAGATGCTCTGTGCCCCTCCCCTTCCCAGATTGGAGGAGGCTTGAACCCAGACAGAGAGGGCAGAACCAGAGGGGGAGGCCCCTCTGCTTGTGAATCCTCCCATTTCCTCTCCTTTCTTTCCCCTCTCTTTTCCTTCCGTGGTCCTGCCTTTCTTCACTCCTTTTGACAGGTTGTGTCCTTCCAGATGATGAGGTATTTGAGGCCAGAGATAAGCCCATGTATCTTGCTGACAAGCCTGCTTCCTTGTGCTCTGTTTTCTTCCTCTAAGTTTTTAATGAATTGGGGGAAGAGCTCAGGAGGGTGTCAGGGAGGATTGGGCAGGCAAAGGCCAACCTCCCAGTGCACCCCTCATTACCTAGCAGTGGCCCATGAGTCATTTCCTCCATTTCTCCAGTAATTCCTGAAGGTTTTTTTTTTCCCTTTTTTGTCTTTTTTACTGACCGGTAACGGGATCGCAACCCTCAGTGTTGCGCCCGCACCGCGCTCAGCCAGTGAGCGGGAACCTGTCTCCACATGGGATCTGAACCCTCGGCGGGAGCGCCGCCACGTTCCCAAGCGGCGCACTCTCCAGTGCGCCACCGGGCTGGCCCAAATTCCTGAAGGTTTGATGCAGAAAACAGGGTTAGACCAAAGGAGATCTTGCCCTTCCTGCCCCAAACTGGAAGACCTTGTCTTCTCCGATTCCCTGCTTGGGGTGCTGCCTCACAACCTGCTGAGGCTTTGGGGTGATGCTCTCACACAGGCCCTTGGGCTGTCAGGGGTCCAGGGTTCCAGCCTTCAGCAGAGTAAATATCTCCAACACTGGAGCGAGGGTCCTTGTTCTCCCACCACCTGGTTGCCCTATACAGGTAGGTGTGGCAGGTGTGTGAGAAACCCTGTACCCATTGAAGCAGCTTTCCCTATTGCCAGCACCCCACACTTAGAGGGGAGGGGAGCAAGGACCTGTCTCATCCCATCTATTCCTGTGTGTCTCTAGAAGCCCTGCCTAGAGTTACAAGGCTAGTTCCAGGGTGGATCCCTTCTCTGCCTGGGGGAGTGGACATCAGGAGATGCTGGCAGTTCCCTCTCAGCTCCCACCCCTGCTGATTTCGTTTCTGCCCCTCAACAACCTCGCCTCCCTGGTCCTTCTCCTTTTGTGCTCCACAAAGAGTGACCGTGGACTGGGGAAGAATGAAAGGTGGGAGCAGCAGGCCCAGGCCCAGTGTGACTGTGCATCTCACCCTGGCCCACCCTTTCCCCGGCTGGCACTTCAGGCCCTAGGAAAGGCTGGCTGGCCCCCCTCTGCTGCCTACCACCCACATCTTTTTCCCCTAGACTGCAATCCCCTCTCCTTAGCCTTTTCTTTCTCCTCCTCTCTTCTCAGTAGCTCTCACCCACTATTCCTCCTGTCTACCCTCCCCTCTGGCCAATCTCATATCTTAATTTCCTTGGACAGTTTGAGACCATCAGGGAATCCAGAGAGTTGGGGGTGGGGGTGGGGGCCCAAAGTCATCATCTCCTTACTAACCAAATGGAATGAACCTAAACCCTCTATCTAGAGGGACTCCAAGTGGATTTCTCCCCAGGGAGAAAGGAGAGTAAGCTGGGAGGGGACAGGCCTCTCTTCCTGTCCTTCAGCGCAATAAAGCTCTGTATAGAAACCTGAATGCAGAAACAGCGGGGCTGCAGCTTTACAAAATAAAGTGTTTGTTTATTATGAAATTAGAGATGGAGGCCCCTCCCATCCTCCCTTTCCCCTTCCCCAGCTACCTCCCCCTTTCTCCTCCCCCTCTCCCTGGGGCCTGGGAAGCACACAAGACAATGCCCAGAGCTGGGATGCCCAGGGCGGGCTGACAGCTGGGCAGAGCTCCAGGGAGGTGACCACGTGGGGGGCTGGAGCTCCTGCCCTGGGAGGTGGGCTGGCTCCCTTCCTCTGCTGGAGGCCAGTGGAGCCAGGATGAGGCCAAGAGTGATGGATGGAACCATGCGAGCAGGTCTGTAAGGACAGGAGAGCCCATTAGAGGTGGTGAGTGGGGGAGGGGCTCCGGTCCATCCCCTTCCTGGGCACAGTATAGGGGCACTGACCTGGGACAGAGCGTCCCCTGCAGGAGGGTGGGCAGCAGTGGCTGGAAGTTTCTCTTGCTTTGAGGATGGACAACAGAAAAAACAAAAAGCCAGTCACAGGGACCCAGAGAGAAGGAGGGGAGATGTGGGCAGGAGATAGACACAGAGCATGTGTGTGAGCAAGGGAGAGAGACAGAGTGTGAGAAAGATTTAGAATCGCAGAGACAAAAACAGCCACGGAGAAAGATGAATCACAGTGAGAGAACAGAAGTTCAGGGTCAGAGCCACAAAACCCAGACCCAGACAGAGGAAGAGCGTCACAGGCAGGGACAGAGATCCCTGGAGAAAGACATACAGACCGACTGGGGCGAGAGGGAGGTAAGAGCGAGGGTGCCTTGGGGAGAGAAGGAGGAGGGGCGCAGGGAGGGGAGGAGGCCTGGGCCCCTGGGCTGCTGCCGCCTGCCTGGACTCCGTGGGGCTCACTCAGAGGGCCTGTGCGGGCTGCCCCGCCGCGGCGTTCAGGGAGCCGGGGGCTCCTTGGCCCCGTACAGCTCGGCCAGGGTGCGGAAGAGCGGACCCCAGTCGTCCAGCGGCTCCGCGGGGCCGGGGGC